TTTGCAGCATTCATTGTTCCTTTGATGATTTTCATTTTTCCTACTCCATTTGAGGAAAAACAGCCCCACATCATAATATTTCCACCCCCATGTTTGACTGTAGGGATGGTATTTGCTGGCTCGTATTCCGCTCCTTTTTTCCTCCATACATGAGTGCGTATGTTTCGTCCGTAAAGCTCAATTTTCGTTTCGTCTGACCAAATTACTTTCTCCCAGAAATCATTAGATTCAATTTCATATTTCTTTACAACATTCAAATGGGCTTGTACATGTCGGCGTTTCAGTAATGGAGTCTTTCTCGGTGATCATGAAGTGAGACCTGCACGATTCAGTGATCTTTTAATTGTATCTTTACTAACTTCAATTCCGGCATTTTTCAAATCATTCTGAATTTCTCTACGAGTTGAAAATGGATTTTTCTTCACAGTACGGGAAATGTATCGCTCATTAGCCTCATTTAAGATACGGGAACGACCACTCCTTTGAATGTTTTCAATAGTATCGAATTTTTTCCATTTTCGAACAACAGCACCAACTGTACTCACAAGCAAATTCAAATCTTGAGCGATTTTTCTATATCCCTTACCATCTTTGGGATTCTTTATGATCTTCTTGCGCATGTCGTTCGACAATTCTTTTGTTTTCACCATTTTCTTGCAGTAGTGGCAACTGAATAGCTGCAGTGTCTCAGACCTGTTATCTAATAGCCAGTTGAGTGTCGTGCAGTGCTGTCATTGGTCGACATATCACATCATATCAATATGGGTAGGAATCATGACGACACGTCTCTTCTAGCATAATATTTGCATTGGTGTTAAATACTTTTGCATATGGCTTATTTGATTTATTGTTAATAAATGTTTCTCAAAACAGTGGTTTTAAATTTTCCTTCTGTTTTGATCGACAATGTTCGTTTAAATATTTCTTATAAGTTTCGTTGAAATTGATCTCTTATTTTTTGAGATATGTAAGAAAAACCAATGTGTTAAATACTTTTGCTACCCACTGTACATCATATACCATTATGTGTATCTATATACCATTATATACGATCATGTATATCTATCAGTTTTATATTTTAATCGTAATTCACGTGGTAAATACAATGCATGAACGCTCGTCCTGTACTCAGGTGAGTCCTTAAATAGCACACGAATCCGACACACACAGGTCCTGTCCACTAACATGTGAAGGCGGTTTCATTCTGATGCCCTACAGGCGTCTTTAAATACATTTCTTATGATTATTATAATTGCAAGTCGTATAACAGTTTGAAGCCGTTATTAAAATAACTAGGAATTTTTCAGCAATATGCCGTACGTGTATAGTAAAATTACGAATATAAATCCTAAGAATGCTTTAGCCTATCCATCGATGTTTCACGTGGAATCCCTAGCGACCTCTTGCGGAATCCTAGGGTTCCGGTGGGGGGGGGGGCGTTTGAGAAACAGTGTATTTACAGAGAAGAAAGAAAGGTCAGTTTATAAAATTGGTGGAGATGCATAGAAAAAAGAATCTCTAATTGCTGATCTCTCCACAAGGACGCTAAGTATCAAACCATCGTTTGGCAGACATAATGACAAGGATGTTAATAAATAAATAATTGCGGCTGGGAGAGAAGCGAAATGATCAACCTCGAAATGTTTGATTTGAGTTTCATGTACACCGTACCTTTCAACTGATCTTTATAACATCAATTTTTATGGCCAACATTTCCGATGTCAAAGACACGTGTCTTTTATCGGTTACGTCCAGAGGAATAAGAAAAAAAAAACATCTTTTCATCTATAGAATTGTCATCAACTGGCTGTTCTGTGGTTAGAGTCGGGGACTGCCACAAAAGAGTCAGCGAAACAAAGAAACTTGAAATTAACAAAGAAACAAAAATCATTAAATTTTGATTAATGATGAAATCAAAGTGAGATTGTATTCTTTGACCCGGTCAACTTTTCTACAGCGCAACTTGTGGTATTCCGTTGTAAGTTGAATGTTAGGTCATTGAACATTTGCGACATAGTTAACTGAATCGAATTATCGGAATTGTTAATAATTTACAGTCTATACTAAAGAACTGATCTCTGGTAAGATCGAATACTGATCTTTTTATAGTTTTTTTTTAACGTTTTGTTTGTTATTTATTATTGATTACTTTATTTATTGATTATTTTATGATCATGTTTACTTGTGTTTATATGTGCATTTTTAGTTTGTTAATTTGTTAATATTTACTTACTTTTTTTTATTGATTTTGTTTTTATTTAAAAACAAAAAACAAACTATAAACTCTGTCTGGAGGAAAAAATAGGCATAATCCCCTTCCCACACCAACACATATTGACAAATAAACGATCAGATCATATCCCAAAATGCAGACAAGAAAACAAATTTTGAGATACGTTACTTAAAAATCATAAAATAAAAACGAATACCCTGTAAAATAGGACCATGAAAAATGCAAGCACATGCACTATATAATGCAGTTAATACAACATAGTGTAGACAAAGCCAATACTTTAAACTAAACGAATAAAATAACTCCCAAGAAAAATAAATAAATAAAAACTTCAAAATAAATAATTTAAGTAAACAATAACACATTAGAAACTACGAATGCTATCTTGTGTTTAGAAGTAAACTAGCAGCATGGCCCGGTGTTGTCCGTGCTTGATTCAAAAATCGTACAACTCATACAGCAATCGCTATCACTTGACTTAAAATATTTTTGCCCTTCCTTGCCTTTTAAGGAGTGCCCTTTGCCGTGCTGATGTTGTTACATGCCGTACTTCTTGCCTATCTCACACTGTGAATTTTTTCCAAGCTCTATACTAAACATTAAATCTGTTACGAAAAAAGAACTAAACAAAATGAACACAAAACGATCAGCTTTAAAAAAGGACTCGTAACTGGAAAAACCGAATGAAAAAAAGAATGTTAACCATAAATACTTTTTCACACCCAACCCAGTTCTGCGGAATCAGAATCAACGTTGAGTTTAAGCAAGCGAATGAGCCAATTGGAGTAAAGTGCTACGCAGATTTACATTTTTCCCACTTGTGACGAATGCAGCTATCGATTTATTTTTGCATGCTAGCATGCTAGTTAACATGTGTCAGTCAGCTGTTGGCTCTCACACTGGCCAATAGAATCGTCCTGCCTATTCGTGGCAGCCAGCTATTGGCTCTCACTCTGGCCAGTACAAAATGGCCGCAAACTACATAAAAACTGCCGTAGAAACATGAAACATGATTATTTCTACTATCGATTGGAGTTGGGAAATGCAAAGTCGGTTTTGGCCTTCGGTCGGTGCATGTAAATTTTGGTGCAAATCCGTCGAAAATTGCGGCCGTGCATTCGTTACACACACACACACACACACACACACACACACACACACGCACACACACCCACCCATCCTGCCTTTTATAGATATCGATAGAATAATAATAATCAAAAACTATTTATAATAAATAATGAGTATAAAGTTAATATAGAAGATTATAAAACAGAAATTACCGCATTCAGACTCACACACACACACACACACACACACACACATATATATATATATATATTAAGGAGGCACGGTGTAGTAATGGGTATCGGTTCGGATTGAGGAATCGGAGAGCCCCGTTCGAATTCCAGTCGAATACATAACATTCACTTACGTGAATGAGAAATGTGTGAATCCTCTTCTTCTCCCTCCAGCTATGGGTAAATAGCAAGACAGATTGAGTTCTAGAAAAACAACTCTGAATTCAAAACCTGCAGAGGGTCGTTTGAGGACCCTGTGGCACGTAGTGCACCAGGTCTCTGTATTCGACCCTTCAAAAAGTGGATGATCCTGCACGAAACATTCACCACTATAAGCAAATCTCATGTGCTGTTGTCGGACTGCAGGTTTCCTTGGAACTCATCTACTTGACCCTCATACAACGAATTCGACTGGAGAGTCCAATATATATATATATATATATATATATATATTTAGGCAATAATTTTTATTTTCGTTTTTAGGGCATATTTTTTTCTTTCTTTCTGTTTCCTTCTTCCGGTTCCTCTTTCTTTTTCTTCTTTGCATTATCACTGGTTTATACTAACGGCTCCCATACTTAATAATTCTCGTTTTCACTCTCGCGTGATCATGTGTGACGTCATTGAGCTGCGACGTGATTTTTGCTTCAACGTCTCGTATACACGAGTTAGTCATTGCTTTGAAATTTTTCATGTAATAAAAACAAACTATCATTATTGTTTCGTCCGTATATTGGTTAATATAATGAAAAGTAATTGTCATCTTTGATAATGGCTTATGTCAGCCGAAAGCTTAGATTGGATTTAAACATGTATCAATATTGTGATTTCCTTTCGTCTTTCAATGATAATGTTATTAAGCTTTTCACATAATATGAAAGGAACTTACTTAAAATAGACAAAACTTGTCTATATTATTTAATGAAACATGCATTAATATATATATATGTGTGTGTGTGTGTGTGTGTGTGTGTGTGTGTTATTTTTCACCCAATCCAAGTTACTGAATGAGGTTGTTTTAAATGCGTAAAAGGTGAAAGTAAGAAATGTATAGCATGAGGCTATATAGGATAGATAACGGTCGACTCTAGAATTGAAGATGTTAACATCATTGTGATCGGGGTAGAGTTCTGAGAAAGAAGCTGACAGATTTATTTGATTTGATTTGATTTTTAACGGTTTATCAACCCTTTGTAGGTTTTATTTAAAGCCGAAGCATATTTTGAATCTATGAATAATTATTTCTTTTTTTACCAGTGAATAATGCATTAGCAATTTTTTCTCCAGGTATCAGTTCTACTATTTAATCCATAGTTTTTGGGAGAAGAGATGGATTCATACTTTGCACCTAAGTGAATGTAACGAGTAAAGATAAAGAAAAAAGGAATTAGTGGAACAGGATAAAAATAAGTCGGAATTATTTTTCGTATTTCATATCAGCATTTTCAAAAATAGACAATATAAGAAAAATGTCTCAATTCTTCTTCTTCTTCTTCTTCTTCTTCTTCTTCTTCTTCTTCTTCTTCTTTTTATTCTATCAGGTCTTCCGATAAGTTCTGTCCGAGTTTTAACTTTTTGTTAAAATGAACGAAATTTAAAGAGTATTTTATAATGTCTAATGGAGCTGAACATTATTTTTCTGTTTAGATGCATTTAAACTGATCAAATTTTATTTCAGAGAACAATAAAATTAAATTTTGTTTCAGAGAACAATAAAATTAAATTTTGTTTCAGAGAACAATAAAATTAAATTTTGTCCCTGCTAACATGGAAGTACACAAGAATCATTTGAGACACATAATGCTTTATGAGTTCAAGAAAGGAAACTCAGCAGCCGAAGCGGCTAGAAACATTCACTCAGTTTATGGAGAGGAATGTGTGAATGAAAGAACTTGCAGAAGATGGTTTGCAAAATTCAGAGGTGGAGATTTCACCCTTGAAGATGAAGATCGAACTGGACGTCCACTTGAGTTTGATGAAAAGCTTCTTGAAGCATCCCTCGAAGAAAATCCTGCTTTATCAGTTAAGGAATTTGCAGTGGTTCTCAGTTCAACCCATACAACTGTTCATCGTCATCTCCAACAACTTGGAAAAGTTCCTAAACTTGGAATATGGGTGCCTCATGAATTGTCGGGAAACAACTTCAAATCCCGAGTTGACATCTGCTCTTCTCTCCATTCTCGCCAACTTGTTACACCTTTTTTGGATAGACTTGTGACTGGCAACGAAAAATGGATCTTTTATCGAAATGTTAAGCGTCGTAGACAGTGGCTTGGTAAAGGGGAAGAACCCCAGCCACAGCTGAGAAGGGAACTTCATGGGCAAAAGTTTCTTCTTTCAATCTGGGGGGATCATCAAGGAATAATCCACTTTGAATTCTTACCACCTAATGCAATAATTAATGCTCAAATATACTGTCAGCAATTAGAGTGTTTGAACCAAGCTTTGAGGAAAAAAAGACCTGCTCTAGTGAATCGAAAAGAGGTGATGTTTCATCAGGACAATGCGCGACCCCACACAGCAAGAATCACGTCACGAAAAATCGAAGAACTTGGTTGGGAGAAAATTCCTCATCCACCTTATTCTCCCGATCTTGCTCCTTCAATTTACCATTTGTTTCGTAGCTTACAGTATCATTTGGAAGAAACAGCTTTTGTAACACAGGAAGACATTTGTGAGTTCTTCGAATCAAAGCCAAAAGAATTTTACAGTAATGGAATTAGTAAGCTTGTTAATAGATGGAAGGAAGTCATAGATAATCAGGGAAAATACATTGTTGATTGGATCTGTAATTAAATGTAACATTTGGTTACTTGTTTTCATTATTCAAAATTCGGACAGAACTTATGGGATGACCTGATATATTTCCTTCCTTCTCTTTTCCATCCTTTGTCACTTTTTCTTTTTCTTTTTTTCTATTCCTTTCTCTTTCTTCGTTTTCCTTCCTCTCTTTCTTTCGTACTTCTTCACTATATCTTTTTGTCTTTACTTCTTTCTATTTTACTTACTTTCTCTCTTTTTATTCACTCGCTTGTTTCTTTTTCTCTCACCGTCTCACACATTTCTTCGTTGTTTTTCTTTTTCGTTTTTTTTTTATACTTTTTTTTCTTTCTGTTTCCTTCTTCCGGTTCCTCTTTCTTTTTCTTCTTTGCTTTCTTCTTTTGTCTCTCCTTTCTTTTTCGTACTTTTTCGTTTTTCTTCTAGATTTTTCTTCTTTCTTTCTCTTTCCTTCGTCCTGTTCCACATTTATTTCTTCTTTGATTTCCTCTTTATATTTAATTCTTCTGTCTTTTTTTTTTTTTTTTTTTTCAATTTTTTCTTCATTTTTATTCCTGTTTTGTCTTCCAGTTTCTCTATCTTTTTCTTCATGACTTTTCTCTTTTATTTCCATTTTCTTTAATTCCGTCTTTGATTCACGCCAATTTCTTTTCCCTTTCCTTCTTTTTCTTACATAGCTTCGTTTTCTTATTCTTTTGTAATTATTTGTCTCTCTTTCTTCTCCATCTTTTCCTTCCTCTTTCTCTTCCCACGTTTGCTTCTCTCTCATATAAAGTTATCTTTCTTTTTTTTGCCTTTTTTTTATTCTTTCTTTATTTCTTCTTTGTATCTGTTTTACCAAATCTTCCTTCCTTTCTTTCCTTTTGCAGCACTCTTTTCTTCTCTGTTTATTTGCCTTGTTCTTCCATCTTTCTTTCTTCTTCTTTGAAATTTCCTTTTCATTTCTAACTTCTTATTTGTTTCTTGCGCTCCTTAATTTATTTTTTCCTTTCCTTTCACTTTCTTCCTTTTCACTTCTATCTTTCCTTATCTCTTCTCTTTCAATCTTTCTTCTTTCTCTTCTCTTCTTTTTCTTTCTCTCTTCTCCTTCTTCTTCCTTTTTCTCTCATCTTCTTCTTTCTCACTTCTTTTTTCTCTCTTCTTCTTTTTCTTTTTCTTCTTCTTTTTCTTTTTCTTCTTCTTCGTATTCTTTTTCTTTCTTTCTCATTCTGTTCTTTTTTCTTTCTTCTTCTTCTTTTTCTCCTTCTTCTTCTCCTTCTTCTTTCTCTGTTCTTTTTGTTCTTCTTCTTCTTCTTCTTCTGTCCTTCTTCTTCATCTTTTGCTTCTTCTTCTTTCTCTGTCCTTCTTGTTGTTCTTATTCTTGTTCTTCTCTCCTTCTTCATCTTCTTTCTCTGTTCTTTCTTCTTCTTCTTCTTCTTCTTCTTCTTTCTCTGTCCCTATTCACTGTTCTTTTTGTTCTTCTTCTTCTTCTTCTTCTACCCTTCTTCATCTTCTTTCTCTGTTCTCTTCTTCTTCTTTTTCTTCTTCTTCTTCTTCTGCTTCTTCTTCTTCTGCTTCTTCTTCTTCTTCTTCTTCTTCTTCTTCTCTCTGTCCCCTATTCACTCCCTCTTTTTCTTCTTCTTCTTCTTCTGCCCTTCTTCATCTTCTTTCTCTGTTCTTCTTCTTCTTCTTCTTCCCTTCTTCATCTTCTTTCTCTGTTCTCTTCTTCTTCTTTCTTTTCTTCTTCTTCTTCTTCTGCTTCTTCTTCTTCTTCTTCTTCTTCTTCTTCTTTTCTCTGTCCCTCTTCATTCTCTGTTCTTCTTGTTGTTCGTGTTGTTCTTCGTCTCCTCCTTCTTCTTCTTCTGTTCTCCTCCTCCTCCCTCTTCTGTTCTTCTTCTTCTTTCCTTCTTCTTCTTCTTCTTCTTCTTCTTCTTCTTTTCTCTGTCCCTATTCACTGTTCTTTTTGTTATTCTTCTTCTTCTTCTTCTTCTTCTGCCCTTCTTCATCTTCTTTCTCTGTTCTCTTCTTCTTCTGTTCTTTTTCTTCTTCTTCTTCTTCTTCTTCATCTTCTTCTTCATCTTCTTCTTCTTCTTCTTCTTCTTTCTCTGTCCTTCTTCCTTTCTCTGTTCTTCTTGTTGTTCTTGTTCTTCCTCTTCTCCTCCTTCTTCATCTTCTTTCTCTGTTCTTCTTCTTCTTCTTCTTCTTCTTCTTCCCATCGCTCTTTTTCTTGCTTCTATTCCTACTTTAGTTTCAACACAAACATTCCAAGGACATTCTCTTCAATCTAAGAAACCCAAGCATGAATACAAAATAAAAAAAGAAAAAGTTATCATCCCCGGCCACTGAAGGGAGCGGCGTGCCTTCTCAGACGACAGACGGGAAGAAAAGCAAAGCCACCGAAACCCCAGACGTCATTTTGAATCTTTTTCTGACCCCAGCGATGAAGGCGAGGGTGACGTCGCTTCCAAACTACTTGATGTCTACTCAGCTTACAGCATCACCGACTTTGTGAATTCTCCGATTATTCAAGACTAATTGTTTGCTTTTTATTTCAACCTGGCTAACATTAGCCTTCGTAAATAGAACAGACATTAGGCCGTTTGTTCGGAACTTCCTCTCCCCCCGTGCCAGCAATGTGAAACACTCTGCCGTAATTGGGGGAAAATATCCATGTTGATTTTTATTTCTACTTTTATTTATTTACTTGCTGCTCGTTTTTCATAGTTTTATGAGCAAATTTCTTCGTTGCTATCGCGTTATTTATTGATTAATTTGACTCAGGTTTTTGGTCTTTGATTTACAAATTCGAGAAATTTGACGCTTATCATAATACACACGGGATTTGATATGAAATAATTCAAGTCTGTACGCATATGGAAGCAGACATATCAGTTCCATTTAGTAAGAAAACAATATAACATTCTAGTGCTCTCTTATATATATATATATATATATATATATATATATATATATATATATGTATATATATATATATATATATATATTATGTGTGTATGTATGTATGTATGTATGTATAAACACATGTAAAACTGTATATTTGTGCGTGCATGCGTGCGTGTGTGTGTATGTGTGTTGTTTCTACTAGAAAGAAACTGGGTAGAAGTTGTTTATTGTGTATGCTATTACATGCACACACACACACACACACACACACACACTGGTAAATACCCACATCGTCGGATAGCGAGTGAAAGAAAGAAAGAAATTAAAAAAGAAAGAAAGAAAGAAAGAAAAAGAAAAAGAAAAAAGAAAATAGACCATCGAAGAAAGAAGGAAATAAACAAAAGCAAGAATAATATTCAATAAAGACAGAAAGAGACGTAAAGTAAACTAAACAGAAGAGAAAAAAAAACAAGCAAACAAGAAAGAAAGAAAGAAACAAAGAAACAAAGAAAGTAAAACTGTTAAGCCGGAGAATTTGATTTGGTCAGAGTTTTTCCCTAATTTTTAAAAGAAGGCTGAATTTTGTAATATTCGTGTTTCAGAACAATTTGTGCCATCATCAGGACGAAAATATATTTCAACTTTAATTAACTTATAAACGATTTATAAGTTGTAAAAAAATCAATTACTATCAAATCCTCATGAGGATGTGAACTGATATACATCTACATTAAGATGTCTTGAAAACAACTGGATCTCACAAGTTCCACGCTAAAGTTGTTCATGGTTTTTCACACACCAGAGAGGTGATGATTGTAGGACAAGAAAAGAAATGTGTAAAAGAAAATTTATAGTCAGAATTTGGATCGCTTCTAAGGCCTTAGCACAAATCTTCTTGTATATCCAAAAAGTAAATTTGACTATCAAAGCAGAAACCTAGGAAATATTTATACTGATTTGATCCTGATTTAGAAGATATTTCAGCATTGCTTTAGATAGTGATCCAGTCGTATACTGTTATAGGATTGTTGTTCATTGAAGAGAGTTAGTATTTCGATAGTATTTTATGCTTAGTCCTGAAAAGGGCCGACAGTCAAAACATCGAATCGCAGAACATGAAATACCGTCTTAGATGCTCAGTAAGAAATGGGAAAAGTTTTATTCAGCGAGCTTACTTTCAGGGAATAGACCACGAGGTTGCGCTCTTCAAAAATAAATGGACCAACTGAAAACACAACTGATAGACAATGGAGTTGAGCCTAAATCATTGGAAAAACAAGATCGTACCAAATGGCACTGCGCCATCACCATTGGAATAAAAAAAAACTTCGAAATTACCAGGAGAGTAAAGGAAAGTCAAAAAACAACGTTCGACAAAATCTATCTCGTCCTCCACCAACATTATTATGCAGTCAATGCCATTGACTCTTCAATGCAAGAATTGGTCGTCTTCGTTATCAACGCTATCATCATAAATGAAGCGATCTGAAAAAGAAGAAATTACATTCGTAGATACGATATAATGCCACCGACGACGACAATAACATAATATCTTCTTTGATGGTGAATATCCTTTGTTTAAATGTCCACATAAGTACTCTGAAGATGGCTCATGTCAGCCGAAAGCTTAGATCAAATAAGAGAAAAAGGTTCGACAAAATCGATCTCGTCCTCCACCAACATTTTTATGCAGTCAGCGCCATTATTGTGGCACCATTTAACGAGGCAGAAAAGGAAAAGAAAGAAAAGAAGGCAGAAAGAAAGGCGAGATGAATCGTGGGTGATAAGCAGAACACACACACGGCTAAGAGACAATGGATATATTGATAAGTAACAAATGGCGAAAGGGTGTCATTACAATGACTGGGAAATTCTGAGTAAAAAGAAAGGGAAAGAAAGAAATAATTAGATGTGTTTTGATAACGGCTGTGTTATCTAGGGGTACGTAAACAAACTGCTGGTCGACTGGCCAAAGAAAAATTCAAATGAAAATGTTATTTCGATAAGTGACGAAAAACAGGCAACTAAAATGGACTTTGGACAGATATGAAAAATTAAAAGCCACACGCACGACTGACCGAATTCTTTCGATGGAACATCCTTGGCCTGCGATAATAAAATTATGTTATCAGAAGAATGTAACGAAGGGGAATGAATGGAAATTTAGAAATGTCTTTTCGGGGCGACGTTGTCCGTGTTAAGAAGACCACCCATTCTGATAATTGACGATAAAATACCTGACGAAAACCACGTGTAGAACAAGAGTTATGACCACCATTGTTCATATTGTCCCGTTTGCAACTAGAGAAATGATAACGGCGATTAAGAGGAAGAAAAGGAAAAGAAAGGATAATGTTTTTAGTTAAGCAAGATTTTTTTTTCTTCCTGAAACAAAGCCGCGGATTCGTCCACGCCCGACTAAGACATCATTGGTCGAGTGGTGATCACGTGACGCACGAAGGAAGCTGTCGCCGCCTCATCCAGAGTGTAGGTATGAGAAGCTGCTACGAAGAAGTGGGGAGGGCAGTTCACGCCCTCTGAAGTATGGTGAGAAGGTGGGAGTAAGGAAAGGCTCCCAAAAATGGAAAAAAAAAGTGGAAATTCCTAACCAGAGAGGTGGATATGTATTTAGAATTATCGAGGAAACCCCGACGCCAACAGACCCACCCCGGTTTTGGTCAGCGTCCATATAAGCGAAGCCCCAACGAGCAGAAATCAGTTGAGTTCCAGAGTTGAGTTCCCGCAGTTCCAGGAATTCAGTTCCCAGAGTCAGTCCCCAGTTGAAGCCGCCTCGCAGATAGCTGACCAAGATTCACGCAAATTCCGGACTCCTCTTCAACCCAAGAACAATTATTTTGAAGAGCGACTTAGATCCAGACCACCGAAATAAATTTTTTTCGACTTTCGTCCGAAGACACACCGAAAAACCACTTTCTTAGAGAGCAAACAACTTGAAGCGTTAAAACTCGCCTAACGGAAAACGACGTGTCACAATCCATAGAACGGGTCGGGAGATAGATGCAGTCCTATGTATCGAACAACTAGACATAAAGTTTGTTACCTTTTCCTTTGATACTTTGAACTTTTGAGTTTTCATTTTATTTTCTTTTATGCATATTTGTGTGGTATCACCCCCGTTGAACTCGGTTTGCATTACGGCCCCAACCACTGATTGATCTCGTCTGCCTAAGATCAATTCACAACGTGGGTAGGCAGACTGGAGATGTATGTAGTTACCTTGGTAACCAGGCGTTGGAAGCGAGTTGGGAACGACGAGGCTGATATCAAATCTAACCAGATTCCCACCCGAATCACCAAAAGGTTAGAACGTCACATTTGGGTGCCGCGACCGATACCAAGCCAGTTGGTCGTCACAGGACGAGACAACACGACTGGCGGACGCGACAGGCGGACGTCACGTTTGGAGCAGCGACACCCGAACGGAGCAACGAGGAGCGAACAGCTGGCGCCGCGGCGAGGACGTCACAATTGGTGCTGTTTAGGGACGTCACAGTTGGTGCCGTGGTAGACCAGGATAGAACGTCACAGTTGGCGCTGCGACCAAGGGACGACGTCACATTATCATAAAGGAAGCGATCAGCAAAAAAGAAATTAAATTCATGGATACGAAACAAAGGCGACGAGTATTTTGAACGCATCGGAATTTTCGAATCAGCAAATCGGTATGAAATTACAAACAATATTGTCCAATTAAAATCATTTTATTGCCTTGGGAAACTAAATAATAAGAATGTAAAAGATATAAATACAAATGTGTATATAAAAATGTCCATATTGGTATCTGTTATAAATTCATGACGGTCGTCTTTGAGTATAGAATCCAGAGATTAGCAGTGAATATTTCGGAGACAGTAGGAAAGCTTAGTTCAAGTTAGCAGTAGATATTTCGATAAAAGTAGCAGAGCGTAGTTCTTCCTTCTGTCATCTTCGCCTGACAAGTTAGCACTGCTCATTCGGGTAGGGTAAACAAAGATGGCCGCCTTTATACACGACGGATACAATGTTCTTCGGCTTCTGATTGGTTAACCTTCTATTGGTGGACTATAAAGGGAGTTAAGTCATTTTGACTCGCTCACTAGTTATACATATATATACACACAAAACTGTAACAGTATCGTCTTAATAATTAAAGTCAGAATTCTTCTGAGTATGAAATAAACGGAGGGGGATCTTAATAAAGGGAATCGAAAGTCATTTAATGAGTCAAAATTAAGGATTTAAGAAAATATTTTTTTTCGGAATCATTAATGTAAAAAACAGCCTCGACTCCATGTTTTCTTACACTTTCTGATGAAATAGTTGTACTTGTTGGAAATGATGAAGAATAGACTCAGGTGAGTGGAGCGACCATGTCAACCGGTGAGTCCTCAGGTGCGAACGCCTCATTCACCTCCGCTTTAGTAGCCTTCCATTTGGATTGACGGAAGAGGTGAGGCCAGATTTATGTTATAAAAATCCCTTCACCTCATATTCATGGCTTTTTTTTTTTTTGGGGCAACAGTGAAAAAAGTAGTTATTATTGTTCCTCTCTTTTATTACTGTGGCTACCTGACCTTAGGAGAGAGGGTCGCACAGACGTTTTATTTTGCAATCCGATCATTCGACAGCTATCGCCACACTGGTCTTTGTAGTTGAATTCATTTTCGACATACTCAAAGAAGTTTTGATACAATATAATTTCTACTGAAAAAGCTTGCATATATTAAACATCAATATATTAATATATCAATAGCAATATATTAAATATCAACTCGCATGACTCCCATAATAATCGAAAATCAATTCTTTCACAATTATATGTGAAAATAGTGTTAAGCACCAGTTGAAGAACTAAGTTGGCTATTATAAAGTTGGTTTTTGAAGTCAGATTTCTTCATTGACCTCTAGCAGTAAGCGGATGGACGAACATTTGCTAGAAAAATAAATGTCTCCCGCTTCTATTTCTCTTCTAACAGTACACGAGTGTGTAAAAAAAAGTCGCTTGATTTAAGATTAAAAAAAAGAGCTGTGTATGCTGCGTTGTGTACGTTGCGACATGTGGTTCGCTGGGAACTACGAAATCCCACCCTCGAAGAAGCAACGAAGTGCGTCTAGTCTCTACGACAACCTGTGTATAAAGACAGGGAAAAGAGAAAGAGAATGTCTGTACTTTGCTTTTGTACTGCTTTTTGGTAGCACCATCTAGCGGGTTCTAGCAGGAATTACCCGTCAGAAAAAATCCCACATATTTTTTTTTTCTGGTGACTTGTCATAAAAGCGTATTGAAAATTAAGAAAATTTATCATATGATTCTATATCTAGGAAGATTAGAAACCATCAAGGATTTTTTTATTTATTTTCAATATTCTATTATATACTTTATTTACACGCGAAATTTCCGTCTTTATTGCTATTAACTCATTTCGGCTATAGTGTCATACGTTCTTCATCAGGAACTTATTGTTCCGGACAACCATATTCTCAGATCAAAGGCTAAAAATGGACTAGAGCGATTGAAACCTGTAGATCCCAGACAGAACCAACCTTCTTCAAAATTTGTGAACTGGCACTACAGGCTCACAAACAATAAACTGAACCAAATAACAGATGCCACATCACTTAAGGAATTCCAGCAGCAGCAAAAACTAAAATGGATAGCATATGTTTACTCGAAGAGAAGATAATGAAATAATCAAAATGTTGGCATTCCACACTACTTCAAACAAAATGTTAGGAAGGAAACCCCCATCAATACTCGAAAGAACTATAACAGCTACTGGATTTGATAAAAACATTTACTTGAAAAAATATTTTAAGAGAATTATTTTTAAGATTTCAAGCGACAGTGGTACCGGCTGATCAGCAAGAGAATGCCGAATGTTTCATTAGAAGGAAACATCGAAGATTGCCATTACCATTATGGGAATTTTGAAATGAATCAATGGTATTCTCAGCATCCTTCTGTAGAACCATATTTCTGTTGCTTCAAGTTCCCTCTTTATCAGTAAGGATACTGTGCAGCATTCACTGCAATATAGGAGGACTGGTACTACATAACAGTTCAGTACACTTTTCTTTGTTTCTAATGATATTTTTCTGTTTATTAATAATTAGCTTAGCTTTTGGAAGGCATCTTTGGCTATCCCAATGCACCTTTTTGTGTTTTACTTTCCATTCTCTGATAATATACCTCCCAGATATCTAAATTGCTGCACCTGATTGATGTGGGTATCACCAATTTGTCATCAAATTCAAGAATCAACGAGACTACATTCCCTTAGGACAATTCTGAGTAGAAAACTTGGAAGCCTAAACCTAATCTACCCACTGACGAGTAATGATAGATAGATAGATAGATAGATAGATAGATAGATAGATAGATAATGAATAGACTGAGATAGATAGATAGATAGATAGATAGATAGATAGATAGATAGATAGATAGATAGATAATGAATAGTTTGAGATATATAGCGCTTGACGGCACTTTTTTTTAATTTCAGCTGCTATTGATGAAATATTTCAGTTACTTTATTTCTTTCTTTATTATTGCTTCCTCCATCGTATTTATTTCGAATAGTAAGGGGCTACTAAGTTCGCGGATAAATAATGTAAATAATGATAACTCATCCCAGAATCTCAGACTGAAATTCAAAATCTAATTTTTCCTTTGCTTGAAACGTGGAGCGTCGAACACAAATAAAGAACAGTTACCGCTTCCCGCAGCACTGCACGCCTTATTGCCAGTTTTAACAGAATTCACCTGCGTTGTTAAATTTGAGGCGAACGATTGATAAATTTACGTCGTTTCATTGAACATCTTTCTTCCTGGTTCGTGTTTGCTATTTATATTTACTGTACTTGACTGGAACATCGAATGAGGCTCTTCCAAAATTCTATTCTGGTTCCTTTTTATTACTGAATAAACACATTTACTCATTTTAACGGCAAATGTCTTTCTTCTGTTGGGCAAACGTCGAGGGAGAACGTGACGGATGTTTTGATAGAAAACTAAATTTAAACTCAAACTTCCATCGTAACGAAGCGGGAGATTTCAATGAATAATTCTTCTTTTTTTTTAAATCTTCTCAAGATTCTTTTCGTTTTTCTGTATTTTTTGTTTTTGTTTTTTTTTTTTTTTGCCTGTTTCTTATTCCTTAACTCATTTATAATTTCATTCGGCTTCACAGGATCGACAATCATTTCCTTCTTTCTTTTTTTCTTTCTTTCTTTTTCTTACTCTCTTTCTTTCTTTCTTTCTTTCTTTCTTTCTTTCTTATCTCATCTCTTTCTTTCTTTTTTCTTTCATTTTTCTTACTCTCTTTCTTTCTTTTTTCTTACTCTCTTTCTTTCTTTCTTTCTTTTTTCTTACTCTCTTTCTTTCTTTCTTTTTTCTTACTCTCTTTCTTTCTTTCTTTCTTTTTTATTACGCTCTTTCTTTCTTTCTTTCTTTTTTTTCTTACTCTCTTTCTTTCTTTCTTATCTCATCTCTTTCTTTCTTTCTTTCTTACTCTCTTTCTCTCTTTCTTACTCTCTTTCTTTCTTTCTTTCTCTATCTCCCTTTCGTACATTCTTTTTTAGATTCTTTCAATTTTTTTTCTTACTTTGTTTCATTCTTTCTGTTTTTCTTACATTCTTTTTTTTCATTCTTTCCTTCTTTCTTTCCTTCTTACTCTCTTTCTTGCTTTCATTTTTCTTTCTATTTTTCTTTCTTTCTTTCTATCTTTCTTTCATAATTTCTTTCTTTCTTATTTTCTTTCTTTGCAGGTTTAGTTTTTTCTTTGTTCTTTTTTCTTTCTATTTTCTCGAGTTTGTTTTCATTAATTCTTCTGGACAATTGTCCTTATCTCTCTTGTTGTCATCAAAATGTTTCGGTCGTTGTTTCTTCTTGCTTTCATCAGGTGTGTGTCGGTCCGCACAATGGTGAATTTCGATCTGAACCCTTTATTTTACGGGGGGGGAGGGCAATGTTTGAGCTGTTCCCAAATAAGAACGAGACGAGATATCTTTAGACATGGGCAGCGGAACGTATATACCCCCCGTAGATTAAATAAAGACTCAATTTCGAAATAGTCTGATGAAGGCCTGGCGTCATAAGGACCGAAACGTTGCGATAACTAAAATGATGAGGACAATAGTGATAACTTCTCACCCAAAATATTCAGACAAAAGATAATTCTTGGATGCTTGTTTACTTTATTAAATTTTTGTTTTTTTAGTTTTTTTTTTTAAGTTTTATTTTTATTCTATTTTGGGGTTTGATTTCATTAATTGAAATAAAAAATAATTAATTAATTAATTCTTCTGAAAGTTGTTTTCTTATTTATCTATATTTACTTAAAGAAACAAAAAAAAAACAGACACAGGTTTTCTTTTTTAAGTGATTAATCTTATTTTTATTGTCTATGATTAATTTTCATAAAATTTGAAATTTAAGGAAGCTTATAAATATATTGATGAAATTATTTTCATATTGAGGGATATGTAACTGATTTTGAAGATATAAACAAACGAAATAAACGATAGATAGATAGATAGATAGATAGATAGATAGATAGATAGATAGATAGATAGATTATGAACAGACCAAGATAGATAGATAGATAGATAGATAGATAGATAGATAGATAGATAGATAGATAGATAGATAGATAGATAGATAGATAGATAGATAGATAGATAGATAGATAGATAGTGTTGTGGTAGACCCTCCTACAGTATTATGAACTCTTCCTCCTTTCATAAATACAAGCTGCGACAGTCGTGTAGAGTGGAGAGTTTGAAGTGACGTGGAGTAGTAGACGCCGTGCTAATCTACTTATTACTAACACTATTGTTTTCTAGATATCTTCAATATACTTTTTCAACCTACCTTCGTCTTCCGAGTCTTTCTTACTGGACCCTAAACAGGCCACAACTGATAGATAGATAGATAGATAGATAGATAGATAGATAGATAGATAGATAGATAGATTATGAATAGACCAAGGTAGATAGATGGATAGATTATGAACAGACCAAGATAGATAGATTATGAACAGACCAAGATAGATAGATAGATAGATAGATAGATAGATAGATAGGTAGATGCGGTATCTGTGAAATTAATCCCAGAGATAGATAGAATCCATCAGAAATCATCGAAGAGATTCATATGCAATTTCAAGGCATTTGAAACGATTTCAACGAAATCACGTGAGTTATTGAGTTCCCTATGTTGGCGTGAAAACACAAAATGCATCCATTTTTAAGAAGGATTGTGTACTTTGGTTCTGGGATCTCCAGGGCTCATCAAATAGCAGAACATGTCATTTCTGTTCACATACAATGCGTTACTTAGTTGGGCATCGGCTACCAATCCATTTTCACCACAATAATGGTATTATGAATAATTTAACACACACACACACACACACACACATATATATATATATATATATATATATATATATATATATATATATATATATATATATAGGTAAAAATCCGTGGGTAAGTAAGCCAAGTAGATCCTAATAATATAAAATATTAAAACTGATCCACAAAAGAGTGCTCAATATATTTATTACAGAGCATATATTTGCATTACATAAAAATGAAACTCTATTCCCCCATTCAAATGGCAATTTTACTCCCGGGACATTCTACCTGGAGCTTGTCAATTAAAAATAATTATTAAAAAAATCTTTTCTTAATAAAAGTTTTTGCATTGACAAGCCACAGGGAGAACATCTGGAGAGAAATGGCCATCTGAATGGGGGAATACATTTTCATTTTTATGTAATTCATATATATATATATATATATATATATATATATGTGTGTGTGTGTGTGTGTGTGTGTGTGTGTGATTGTGTGTGTGTGTGTGTATAAGGTTTTCAGTATTCAACTTTCAGTCAGTTAGGTGCCATGTGTGATACACTCTTAGGCGATCATGTATCTTTCGATACATGACTGACGAAGCAGATTTTTTACCCGCAGTAGGTTGCCATTTCTTTCTGCGGTAGACCAGTTGCCATCCAACATTATAGAACTCGGTTTATCCTGCTATGTACTCATAGCTGGGGGGGGGGAGAAGAGGGTTCATACCTTTCCCAGGGGCATTAGCACGTTAGTGAATGTAATGGATTCGACTGCAATTCGAATTCGGCTCTCCGACTCCTCACTCTGAACTGCTATCATTTACTCCACCGTGCCTCCCTGAAGTTTAGTAAATAAAAAAAAACAATGGTAAAACAATGCCAGGGATCATTAAAACTGTTTTTTTTATAAGAGATGCCATACTGTGGAACAGACACGAGCATGGAGACTTCCTTGAACAGTCTAATTTCCAATTCAAATATCAAACGTTATCCATCACCCTTATACTCATGATCTCAATTTCGTACAATCCCCTGTTTCATTATGTTTGACAGTGGCTTTCTATCTTGATTAGAGCTTGAGGCCTGTATTGAGTGTATCCCTGTGTTGCCATGATCATCAGGAATGTACACGGACGATCTTTCCAGATCGCTAGATTCAACTTGAATTCTACAGGTTTTCTCCTGCAGCCACTACACGTTTTTATACTGAGGTTCCAATGGGATATGCAATTTTATTCAATCGAAATAATATCCGCTATATTTTACGATTTTCTTCCAATGATACTGGTAATGCCATAAAAAGCCACAGAAAATACTTCGTCTTTTGCTCTAATTAACTGTTCAAACATTTCGACGATGAGAATTCTCTATTACATATGGAAAGCTTAAAGTGTTTAAATTGGTGATCATTTCTGGGAGAGCTGCTTGGTGGGTAAAGTAAATAATTCAAAATCTAATAACTACATCCGCGTCCTGGGTATGTCGATAAACTACATCCGCGTCCTGGGTATGACGATAAACTACATCTGCGTCCTGGGTAAGACGATAAACTACATCCGCGTCCTGGGTATGACGATAAACTACATCTGCGTCCTGGGTAAGACGATAAACTAGATCTGCGTCCTGGGTAAGACGATAAACTACATCCGCGTCCTGTGTATGACGATAAACTACATCCGCGTCCTGGGTAAGATGATAAGCTACATCCGCGTCCTGGGTAAGACGATAAACTACATCCAACAGCAAGGCCTCTGATAATGTTTTTGAAAAAATAGTGTTGCCAGCTGTACGTTTTTGAAAAAATATTACCAGCTATACGTTTTTTTTTTTTTTTTTAACGAATAGTGTTGCCGGCGAAACGTTTTTGAAAAAAATAATATTACCAGCTATACGTTTTTAAGGAAAAATATTAACAGAAATAGATTTTTGAAAAAACAAAAGTATTACCAGGAAAAAAAAAGTTGTCAGCCTTAAATGACCCATTGAGGTTGATGTGCCGTAAACCAAACCAAACTAAACTAATAACGAAGGTTGTGCAAATATTGAACGATATATGGAGGCATGCAATGTGATGCAATCGAATTGGGTCATCTCTATTCACTAATTGAAGCTGTTTCTTTTTTGGCGTGCGTGATGTTTGAAGTTTTCTTTAAAGTTTTCTATTTGGATTGTGTCTAACCAACGTATTCAATTGATCAATTCTTTATGACAGAATCAGGTCTTCCTCCTGGTTCGTTTTCAAGGCCTTCATCTCCTGAATTAAACTTCTCAGACCATCGCTGTATAGTACTGACATTACGAATGCTACTGTCAAAATGACATTTGACGTTTCGTTGAACTTTTGTGGTATTGTGGCTTAATTTGAACACGTATAATATGAGAAGTCCGTATTGTTTAATTGTTATCATTTTCTAGAGGCTACGAATAATATTTTATGCAAACAGCCACATGAAGACAAGATAACAATAAGTAACAAATAAACGCTGATTTAATGGGTTATGCCAATATACGCTTGCCATTTTTTTTAAATTGGCAAATAAAACATATATTTTATATGATACAATCTAGACGGATAAATATAGATTGTGGGGATATAAATCAACATGGAGACCGCCGCTTTCTTCCTTTAACTGATCTTCAGATTTGGTTTTTTAAAATCGCTATTACTGATACAGGGCACTTGTAGACAACACAGAACAAAACAACAACAAACTTGATACAAAAAAAATGTAAAACCATATTCAATGATGGACACACAAAAATACATTTTCTCTTCTCTTTCCTTCCCCAGCTCAAAATCTGTAAATATCGATGTTGTAACGTAGCAAAGAAAAGAGCCAAATAAATACTGCAGGTAACTCAGAAACGAAAAGTGCGCGAATATTGTATTATGAGAAAAAAAAACACCAATGAAGACATAGGATTATGAGTGAATAACTCTTTGGTCTACAATAGAATGAAGTGCTTCATAATCCTAGAACGGAGTAACCCTGTGATTGAAATTGGGAAGCTGAAACTGCTCGGAAGCCGTCTATAATAGTACAACTAGTGATCACACTAGAGTGTGTTCTCGACTTACAAACTGTGACTAAGGTCTGCTTAGCGCAGTTTCAGTATAAACCACAGGTTGGCTTTGTGCGTGTTGTTGAAACAAAAATGTAACAAGATTAGCTAGTTACTTTTGAAGATGGCCATACTCGGAAACGAGTAGTCAACCCTTACATTACTGTGTATTTACTTACTAATATCTAAAAGTCTCTTTTTGTAGTACTAAATTCCATTATCGATTCTCTTGCAGAAGACCGTTTCTTGGCCAAATGAACATCGATAACATAAACAAGTCTAATTCTCTCTCGACATTCGTTCATTTTCATTAGGGTTATTCTAATTTCCAATTCATTAAATCGAAAATGAAAATAAAATAATTCATGGAACCTATTCAGATTGATTTCTTTCACTTAAATAAAATTGGACAACGTGGGCGCAATTCCTATTGGACCTCAGTTTAAAAGCGTCTGATTACAGGAAAGGCCTGGAGATTTCAAGTTGAAGCTAGCGATCTGAAGAGATTATCCATGTATATTATTGGGGATTATTGCAACATTCATTGTTTCATCCAATACAAGACTTGAGGTTCGCTCAAGACAGAAGGCCACTGTGAAAATAATGAAAGAGGAATTTTTACGAAAGATTATGAGAATAAGAAGGATTGATAACAACTGAAAATTAACTCATGAAATCTGCTTAGATTTCTTTCTTGACAAGGGATGGAACTCACAATCACAATGTCGACAAATTCCCAAACCAATGCTTTAATGCACTAGGCCATTGTTCTGTAGGATAAAATTGCTATAGTGAACTTGGAGCCTTAAACCTAACCTGCCTGATGATTAGTGCTCTAACTGCTGCTGATTGCCATGTTTAGGTTGCTGCTGCTGCTATTCTTTGTCTCTCTTTCTTTATTATCCGCTCCTATGTTGTATTTATTTCTATGCTAAGCCTCCTAAGGAAATCCTCATGGCATAGTATATGCGCTGATTCTTTCGGACGTCTAATCTCCATTGTTCTCCCCTGCCCATTATTTTTACTTTATTTCACAGGGAATGAGGAATATCCCTTTCTCTGCATATATGATCAGCCATGCCCGATTTCAAGACGTAATAATCATTACCGAAGAAAGGAGGTCAAATGGGGAAGAGGCGATTAGACTGAAGCTATGCGAGCATAGTGAGATGCCTGATATTATTTCAAAGTAAAGTATTGCCAATGGGATAATGTTGTACATTGTTGCCAATGAAGGAGTACAGTGAAAGGAATGTAACGAATCAGATTACATCGATGCCCATGAGTACAATAAAATAGAGATGATTATAAAGGATTTATGCATTCATACTATTACGTTGGACACAAACTTGTAAATGTAATGTGTTGACAATGAAACAAACATTCCAATTAAATAATTATATCAAGCAAGAAAATAAAAAAAAAAACAGTAAAATTAGTTTCTGTGCATATTTATCAACAACAGGTCAGACACTTAGTTTTGAAGATTGTCAATAAAGAATTAGTTCAAAACAAAGAAGAAAAGAAGGACGATTAGGAGGATTAGAAGGAGATTACTAGCATATCACGATTATTATAAAAAAGTTCCTAAGTATTTTCTTCTTACTAGAACTATGTAAACCCAGATTATTGGCAATTAGAAAGAAGATACATGACACCTAAGAACTAAAGATTACCCCAGAGATGCTATGAAGGATACTGCGATTGCTACAGCAACTTCTTAAAAAATAAGACCAACCAACTTTTAAACACATATTCTATCTATCTATCTATCTATCTAGAGAGAGAGAGAGAGAGACACACACACACACACACATATATATATATATATATATATATATATATATATATATATATATATATATATATATAAAAAAAAGAACAGTAAGATATATAATCCGGTGTTCTTGTTATTTTTTATTTTTACAAAACAGGGCTCAATGTAAATTTACAGAGCATAAATATTATAAATTGATTGATTTCAAATTTGTTTTTTTGCTACACAGTAATAACCATGTTTCAAAAATGGAAGCTAAAAACTTTAAATTTAATTATATAATTAAATTAAAAGCATTGGTTCCGTTTGATATTCAAGCAAATATTGGAATAACTTATTTTTAAATTTACTGAGTTTTAAACACATATAAATTCATAATTTACTTTTTCCAAGGATACAGAGAAATTTAATCATTCAAACAGGGGCGGTAGCGTGTTCATTTTTATTAACTATTGTTGCTTGAATTATGAGTTACGTTCGAAATAGAGGTTAAGTTTAGGGAGGGTCGGGGTTTATTTTTCAACGAATTCTGACATCCGTTAAATGCATGTCGTCTGTTTTTTTTATTAACGGCAAAAAGTTTTTCGGCATTTTTTCTTGTATACTCAAAGATTTTTTTTATGTGTGTTTGTGTTAAAATACGTTTTCTTAAACTACAATTTTAAAATAGTTTTACTCGTAATTACTAATAGACTATATTTCTTTTTAAAAACAAGTAAATGTAATAGAATTACTCACATTACTTAAAATTACTTTTTCATATCAAATATAAGTATGTATATAACCAGCTCCCATTTTTAATTTTATTTTTAAATAGTATTTAAGGAAAATTTTTTAAATATATATATATATATATATATATATATATATATATATATATAACCTCACCCTACGTTGTTAATTGGTTCCAAAGGCCACGACTTAGATCAAAATAACCACACTATAATCGCAAATAAGCCATGTCCATTTGCAAATTACAGCATTTATGATATGTATGTACAAAATAAAAAATTTAAAATATAAATAAAATAATTAATTTCCAACTTATCCTCCAGCAATATAGTCTTATGCTTAGCATTAGCACTTGGACTTTTGTCGGAACTATGGGCAAAAATGTATTCTAAATCACAATTAAAATGTAACTGAAAAAATTCAACGGCAGAGCACAGATGTAAACAGGTCAGGATTCAAAATCTGTGTCGGAGGGGAAAACAACGCACGAGTGCCGGCAGTTGGCAAGAATTTGAAATAAAAACATCTTCTGAACATACTTTATTATAGTAATTTTTTTTTTTTTTTTGAAGATTTTATGATTTTTACAGGCAGTCGTAAACATGAGTAAAACGACCTAAGGAGAGTTTTATTTTTCATATGTTTGCTATGTGACGCTAAACAAAACAGGATGTCATCTTTGATGATGAACATCTTTGTTGTAATGTCCATATAAACAATCTGATGATGGCTCATGTGAACCGAAAACTTAGATCGATGATGAATATAATAAAGAATTTTCCAAATGTTGGACAGTTTTTCTCTTTATTTACCCTTGAAACTAAAACCATTATATATATATATATATATATATATATATATATTTATAAATTAACTGATTTTAATTAATTCAATTTTAATTATATATATTTATACAATTAAATTAAAAGTTTTTAGCTTCAGTTTTTGAAACATGGTTATTACTCTGTAGCGAAGAAACCATATTTTAAATCGGTTAATTTATAATATTTATGCTCTGTAAATTAACACCGAGTACCGTTTTGTAAAAATAAAAATAATAAATATCAATAACAACGGATGATGTAGCTTACAGTTCTTTCTTTCTTTATATATATATATATATATATATATATATATATATATATATATCGACATCTTGCTTTCTAAACTATGATAACAAGTGACCCTGAAAATATAAAATAGCAGCGAAAAAATCTTAGTAAATTGAGCACACCAAAATTCCACTTCCCAGAGAACATTTCTGAGTAAACAAAAAAATATAAAACAAACATTAATCAAAAATATTTTCCGTACTCTATCATCGATAAACAAATATTTTTTTCTGACAAAATATACATGGCGCCAGTAATAAAAATACCACAAGACAAAACACCAACATATTTTTCTGCAGCCAGATGTACAATAAATGTAAGCAAGACCAATTCGCTATACGAAGAATTATTAAACACTATGTTTCTGTTGTAAACTATAAAATTTCTAGTATTTTGCAGAAAGTGCAAAACTGCAAACCTTGTCCCTAATCAAAATAACCCACCAAATCTAAACTAGCAATGACCAATACAGTGTATCAATTTCAGTGTACAGTATTTTTGTCATAAATCAATTACCTATATCGGTCATACCACCACTTCCTTGAGTAGACGCCTCCCATGTCACTTATCAGATCAAAGTACCATAAAAAATCTAGCCACCCACGATATACTGATAAAGCCCGATGTAGACCGATAAATGTTCTTTAAATTATGCTATTTATTGAGAGATGAATATATGTTTTGGAGCGTATATATATATATATATATATATATATATATATAT